ATCTTGGAGAGAACGATGAAGGGTCATTGAGTTCAGCTGTGTTCGTGTGAAGTAGTATCTGAAATTAGTTCCACGAGCTTGTCAACGAACACCTCTGGGCGTTCGGCTGTCCAAGATGGCCGCCGCCACGTGTTCGTTCATACGAACGACAACCACCCAACCGACCGTTCGGGAGTTGGAAGTGTCTGCAGTTAAATGTTAATGAGGGCAGAAAGGTTAACAAGCAGCACACTTCCCTGCTGGGTGGCCTGCCATTCGGTAGTTCATTCGTATTTAGGTGAATGAAAGCAGAACCATACGAACAACCAGCAAATACCGAACAAACAGACGAAACAGTAATAGTCCAAAGGCAGAGTGGTCTGCCACAATAGCCATCCCTTGAGCATGGGTGGGGGACCTTTAAATAAGAAGTGGTGGGTGGACAGATTACTGTCCACCCCCATGTCCAAACCCAGGGCCAGCGGCTGGGAATAATTCATAAACTAAATGGGGGAACACCCTTGTGTATCTCCCTGCCCCACCAATGGATAGCAGGTGGGCTATTACAATATTCAGGGGAGAGAACCTAGTGTCCCTCTTCCCGGGTTTCTGCCTGTTGGAAGCAGGTGGGGGCCATAATAAGAAAAATCATGTGTAAGGACCTGGTGTCACCCCTGCCCCCACTTATGGGTGGCTGCTGGGCACTCTAATTTAAACAATGTGAGGGTACATAATATTTCTATCCCTATTCTGCTCACCTTCCTCCAGGTGGCTAGGGACCCCAATCCTTTTTTTTTTTTAAAAAGGATGCAAAAAAATTCATCTTTAAACATGGAGGGCTCTGTGCAGACTTAGCTCTAATAGTGTAGAAAGCCCTTATATATAGCTTTCCCATCCTATGTCAGCTATTGCATGAGTGGGAAAATTACCCAACCTATGTAATATCAGCCAACCAATGAATGCTCTCGCCCATATGATGTAACAGATGACAGGGCCGGACTGGGAACTAAAATCAGCCCTTGAAAAAAATTCTATACCAGCCCAATAATGCGTTGCGCCAGCATAGTGTGCTGATAAAGAGGGTGAAAAAATTACCTGAAATTGAAAACTCTTACTCCAACGAAGGAACGCATATAGGGCTTCAAAATAAACAAAGGAGCGCCTTTATTTTAAGTAGACGTACATTTGCATGTAATGTTTCAGTACAACTACTTTGGCCTATTAAGGACATTTTAGTAATGGTATTGAAATGCTGAATGTCTGCAGTTGCACAACTAAAAAAATGAAGTGATCTGGTTAATTAAGTTCTTTGGGTGCGCTCTTCACTTTGAATATGTTATTGTGCATGAGTATGCAACTAGCAACAAGACAGGGCCAATACGTGCTCATTACATATACATACATATATATATATATATATACATTTTAAATTACATTTATGTGTGTATTATGCATAAATAAATGTATATTACTTTATGTGTAAATAGGCATAATTATATGTTACTAATACACACATCAATATACATGTGTGTATATATATATATATATATATATACACACACACATGTATATTGATGTGTGTATTAGTAACATATAATTATGCCTATTTACACATAAAGTAATATACATTTATTTATGCATAATACACACATAAATGTCATTAAAAATGTCATATTATATATATATATATATATAATGACATTTTAAATGACATTTATGTGTGTATTATGCATAAATAAATGTATATTACTTTATGTGTAAATAGGCATAATTATATGTTACTAATACACACATCAATATACATATGATATATATATATGTGTGTGTGTATTACTGTCAGGATCACATCAATTTACGTCTATTACCTTTACCTCGTTTAGTGTATCTTGTCTCCAATTGTCTCCTTTTTTTCTCTTACAGTGACCCTTGTGCATCTTTTACTTCATCCCAGTCCCTGTGTGTTTCTTTTTACCCTTCTCCAGCCTCTGTATTTCTCTTTCCCCCAGCCCCTTTTGTGTTGTTCTTAGCCCCAGCCACTTTGTCTCTTTCTCCCCTTCCAAATCTCATCTGTGTGTCTCTTTCTAACTCCAGATTCTGTGTGCCTCTTTCTCTTCTCCCAGTCACTCTCTGTCTCTTTTTCCCCAGCCCAGCTTTGCCTCCCATAAATCTTGTGTCACTTTGTTCCCCTTCCCTACTGTATGTCTCTTTGTCCTCCCAACAAACCTTCTGTGTGTCTCTCTTCCCCATCTCCTCCCTGTGTCTCTCTCTTACCCCTCTGTCTGTGTACCCCCTCCTCTTTTACCCTACTCTTTGTCCCCCCAATCCCCTATTACCCCTCTGTCTCTTTGTCCCCCCCTTCCCTGGTGTCTCTCTATTACCCCTCTCTTTGTCCCCCCATCCCCTGTCTCTCTATTACCCCATCTGTCTGTGTCCCCCCTTGCCCTATGTCTCTCTATTACAGCTCTGTCTCTTTGTCCCGTCCCCCCAACCTGGTGTCTTTCTATTACCCCTCAGTCTCTGTGTCCCCCCTTCCCTGTGTTTCTATTACCCCTCTATTTGTCCCCCCATTCCCCTTTTTTGTCTCCACCATTCCCCTATTTTTGTCTCCCCCCATTCCCCTCTATTTGACTCCCTCCTTCCCCTCTATTTGTCTCCCTCCTTCCCCTCTATTTGTCTCCCTCCTTCCCCTCTATTTGTCCCCCCCATTCCCCTCTATTTGTCTCCCCATTCCCCTCTATTTGACTCCCCCATTCCCCTCTATTTGTCTCCCTCCTTCCCCTCT